TGTGTGTGTGTGTGTGTGTGTGTGTGTGTGTGTGTGTGGTCTTCGTGTCTCTGCATGACTAAAGGGCTCTGCCACAAAGCCGTCCCCTAACTCCTGCGCTTCGGTGAGGGGATGTCGGTCTCTCGTGTCTCCCGTGAGGCCTTGCCCTCCTCTCTCTGGGAGGATGTGTCAGCGCGGTCTGCCGAGCCGTGGCTCCACTGGCCGTGCGCCCTGGTGGGGCGTTTGTGGGCGCGGCCCCCCCAGCAAATGCATGCCTCCAGCTCTGGCCCCTGGGGGGAGAGGAGGGGCTGGTCGGCACCTGACCTCGCTGGGCCCCTCCCTTCAGCAGGATCCAGACGTCCCTCACGAGTGCCAGCTTGGGGTCTGCGGATGAGAACTCAATGGCCCAGGCTGACGACAACTTGAAAAATCTCCACCTGGAGCTCACGGAGACTTGTCTGGACATGATGGCCAGATACGTGTTCTCCAACTTCACGGCGGTCCCCAAGAGGTACAGGCTGGGAGGGAGGCACAGCACCGCGCTCTCTTCTTCTGTGACTGTAATGGGTCAAAGTGGCGGTGGCGGGTGAGTCGTGCAGGGCTCCTTCCTGCAGGCGGCCCTCAGTCGGAGGCGCCTTTCGAACCACGATGCCTGTCCAGAGCCCACTGGGCAAGGTGTTGGCCGATGCCCCTCTGCTTTCAGGTCCCCCGTAGGGGAGTTCCTCTTGGCTGGCGGCAGGACCAAGACCTGGCTGGTTGGAAACAAGCTCGTCACCGTGACGACGAGCGTGGGGACCGGAACCCGGTCACTGCTGGGCTTGGACTCAGGAGAGCTGCAGGGCAGCCCAGAGCTGAGGTGACCGCACCTTCCAGCCCCTACCTACCGGGCCGTGACCCTGGCGGTCCCGAGCCCGGGCCGGGGTGGCTCGGTTGCGCGCCAGCCTGGGGCCTGCGAGACATCTCGGTCACGCTCGGCACGGACCCTTCCGTCCTCAGCTCTGACCCCGGTGCGCACGTGAGGCAGACAGAGGAGGCGCCTGCCAAGTTGGAGTCCCAGGCTGGGCAGCAGGTGTGCCGTGGGGCCCGGGACCGCGTCCGCTCCATGTCTGGTGAGCCTGTGCCCCTCCCTGCCTCCTCGGGGCCTCTGTGGGTGCACGCGCTCGCGAACGCTGCCGGGATGTTGTTTCCGCGAGCCCTCGTCACAGGGGGTGTGGCGGGCGGTGTGCCTTTTGCACAACTCTGGCCCGCGGGCCCTTGTCGCCGAGGGTCCGTTTCTCATGGCTTGTGTTTCCCGTGGACCCTCGGCGGTCCTTGTCCTCGGCTCAGCTCACCCCTGTAGCTTTCTTTTGCTGTCCAACGGTGGGGGCAGGTGGGGCAGGTGCTGGGGCCCCTTCCTACTGCCCTGGGCCCACCGAGGTCGACACCCAGAGAGGGCTGAGCTGCCTCTGGTTGCTGTCCTGGGGCTCCGTGGCCAGCAGGGCCCTGGGTGGAACAGCCAGTTCTGAGCCGGCGGCTCTGCGTCGGGCAGGTGGGGGTCACCAGCCCTCTTGTCCTCCCCTTCCTCAGGGGGCCACGGCCTTCGTGTTGGTGCCTTGGACGCTCCAGCCACCCACTGCCCAGGCTCACAGACCACACCAGCCAGCACGTCCGAGAGGGCCTCGGCTGCCGCCCAGCTCCCGGCGCAGGAGAAGACGAGCCTGGCGGCCTACGTACCCCTGCTGACCCAGGGCTGGGCGGAGATCTTGGTCCGGAGGCCCACGGGTACTGACGGGTCTGCCCTTGGCACGCCTGGGCCTCGGTCGGCACACATAGTGGCCGCGGGACCATTAGCCACGAGGGTCTTAGGTACACAGGAGGGGCAGGCAGGCTGGGCCGAGGGAGCTTCTGCTCCGTGACGCCCACATGGTGAGCGGTGAGGGGGATCCACAGGGCTGAGTGGGGAGGGCCTGCGCTAGTCCGCTTGGGCCTCCCTGACAGAGTGCCCCGGAGCGGGCGGCTTCAGCAACAGAAAGGTATTTCCTCCTGCTCCCGGGGGCTGTAAGTCCCAGGTGAGGGTGCCAACCGGGCTGGGTCCTCTTGAGGCCTCTCTTCCCGGGGTGCACACGCATGTGTCTTCCCTCGTGTTCTTGCGTGGTCATCCCTCTGTGCGGGTGTGTGTCCCCTGGTAAGGACTCTGTGGATTAGGGACCACCCGGGAGATTCGGTTTTCCCTTACCGCGGTGCTCTCCGAGGTGCTGGAGGTGAGGACTTCCACACAGGAATTTTGCGGCACACGATTCAGCCTGTAACGGGTATTTGAGGTTAAAGGAAGCCAAGGCCCGGGGCCTGGGGTCCGCTTAGGGCGCAGCGTGGCGAGTGGTGACTGGGGAGGACAAGGCGCCCGGTCCTGGGGAGCCTCCTGGGCAGTAAGGCTGTGGGCCCTGGGTCCTCTTGGGGAGCCGGCACGGGGGAGGCCAGAGACTGGATGAGAAGGCCCAGGAAGGGCCGGAGGAGGTGGGTCAGGGTTGAGGGAGATGCTCTCAATGTGAGGACGCTCGGTGTGGAGGGCCGCGTCAAAGCGTTGGCCTGTGGGCCTTGTGGGGAGAGGGAGCCCACAAGCTCCCGGCTCTGCCCCATCCAAGCTTTTCGGTGATGTCTGTTCTTTGCGGTGCCTCTGCCGGGCCTGACGTGGGTGTGAGAGCTGACCTGGGGCGGAGAGTGGTATGAACTGAGGCCCTCCTGTGCGTCCGTGAGGCGGGCGACCGCCGGACGGGAGCTACTCCTGACCTGGGGGTCTGGCGGTGTGGGGGTGGAGCGTCGGGGCCAGCCAGGGGCCTGCCTTCGCCAGAGCCTTCCCCCACTTCCCCATCGCTCCCTGGTTGAGCACAGGGAGCTCTGCCCACCCCCGGGCATGTGCCCTTGGGGGTGGGGATGGCCGGTGGCGGTGTCGGGCCCGCGGCCTGAGGGGTGCTGCCCGCCCCTCCGCAGGGAACACCAGCTGGCTGATGAGCCTGGAGAACCCCCTCAGCCCCTTCTCCTCGGACATCAACAACATGCCCCTGCAGGAGCTGTCCAACGCCCTCATGGCCGCTGAGCGCTTCAAGGAGCGTCGTGACACGGCCCTGTACAAGTCACTTTCGGTGCCGGCGGCCGGCTCCGCCAAGCCCCCTCCGCCCCCACGTTCTAACACAGGTGGGTACCCGTCCCGCCCGACCTGGCCGTGCTGTCTGGAGGCGGCGTCGCTCCCCTGCGCCGCGGGTCGCGCCCACAGTGGGGGTCCCGGAGCTTTCCTCGCCGCCGCCACGGCCTGACGTGGGAGCAGGGCCCATTGCCACCAAAGGGACCCTTTCCCGAGGCGCGCGGTAGCCGTGCGGGGGCGGGCACGGCAGAGCCCCCGCAAAGCCTTTGCCCTGTGCTCTCCGCGGAGCGCCCGTGGCCGGGGCTCCAGGCGGTAGCCGCGCTTCTGCTTGGGTGTGGGTGTGGATGCGCCGAGCACACGGTCTGCGCCTGCCTGCGCTCGTGCCCGTGCCCAGCCTGCTGCTGCGGAGCTTCCGGGCCACCGTCTGGCCTTCCCTGTGGCCGCGGATGGCGCCTAGCGGCCCGGGACCTGTGTCGGCGAGGAGGAGGGCCGCGCTCCCCTTCCAGACGTCGGCTCCGGCAGCTCGGGGAGCCGGGCGCCGCTGGCCCCTCCGCTCTCTCTCTCCAGGCCCGGGCTCTGTGTGGGACTAGTGGTGCCTTTCCTCTGCTCGACCGTGCATAGTCTCCCCTTCTGCTGACTGGCCGCTCGCGGTTTCCCTTGCAGTGGCCTCTTTCTCCTCCCTGTACCAGACCAGTTGCCAAGGAGAGCTGCACAGGAGCATTTCCTGGGCAGGTACTCGTGTGTCTCTTTAAGGGAAGCGGTGTTTGCTCCAGAGCGCCGCTCCACCTCGTAGATGCTGTTCTCATCGCCCCTCATCCGCTCATCCCTCCGTGGTCCTGCCAGAGCCGCTCCGTGCCCTCTGGGAGAAGGGCCCCGACTCGCATGAGGACGTCTGTGCAGAATGCCTGCGCTTTGCTGGTGGACCCCCTCTGCTGCATGCCCTTCGTGGCTGAGCTCTGTCCCCACGTTGGGCAGGCCCTTACAGCCACATCTTCAGGCCTCAGGAGGTGACCTTGGGCAGCTAAGCCACAGATGCTGGCAGGGGGCAGTTCTTGGGGGCGAGCCTGGCCCTGGGGCTCAGCCCCACTGACTTTTCCCGGGCTTCTGGTGGTCCGATTGGCTTTGCGAACCCACAAATTGGGCTGTGTCTGCCTCTCGTCGTGGGCTGGCCAGAGGCCCTACAGACCAGCCTTTGGCCCGTTGTTCCCGGGCCCTGGCAGGGGCGGGCTCTGACCTGCATGGCCCTTGGGCACACCTGGGTGCCCGCATGTGGACAGGAGCCAGTTAGGAAAGGGCAGCGTGCAGACGGGCTCCGGCAGGCGGCTGACAGGCCGTGCGCGTGTGGGGCTGCGTGTGTGGCGGCCGCGGGCTGCGCTAACCCCCGGTTGCTTCCCCCTCCCCCGCTCCTGCCCTCACATCGGCACAGGAAATGCTGCTTCAGGGCACCGTACCCTCCTTAGCATTCCTCAGCTCGGGGTTGGCTTGGGCTCCGATAGTGCGCCTCGGCTTTCCAGGACGGGCTTCCGAGTCTGTGTGTGCGCACGGGTGTTTCTCCATCAGGCTTCTCCTCAGGTCCCATCACAGAGGGACTCTGGCCTCTCGTCCCGCTTCCTGGGGGCCGGTGTGGGCGCGCCACTCCTTCTGAGCTGGGACCCCGTCTTAGGCGGGGGCTCCTCCCTCATGGGCTCTTGGGCTCGGGTCCCGCCCCCGGCCGTTTCCCTCGCTGGAGCAGCGGCGGCGGGTGCTGTGGATCCTGGGCTGGGGATTCCAGGAGCCGGATGCCCCCCACGTCCCTACGTCCGGGAGCCTGTCTTGGAGACCCCCGTGTCAGGGGTCACATCCAGGCCCCTGAGGGCACCCTTCTCCAACTGACTTGATGGGGTGTGGGCAGCTTAGAGCCACAGGCAAGGAAGGCCTTAGGTGAGGCTCTGTTGGGGGGCCGCTGTGCTCTCTTGCCGGGGAGAGGCTGGTACCTCAGGCCACGTGAGCTCCTGGGGGCCGGGCCAGCACCTAGTAGCCTCATCTGTGTCCTCCCAGACTCCGCGGTGGTTCTGGAGGAGGGAAGTCCCAGCGAGACTGATTTACCAGGCGAGCCCACTGAGCTGGAGGACTTTGAGGCCACCCTGGGCCCAGAGAGGCGCTGTCGGCGCCCTGAAGCCTACAGTAGAGTGAGTACTAGGCGGGGGAGGGCGCTGTGGGAAGAGGGGCGGGGCCTCCGCTCCAGGCTTTGTGGCTCCGGCTGGCTTGCTGTGAACTCACACGAGGTTTTTCTTCCTCTTTTGTTATCTAAGAACTGGCTAGCTGTCCTTCCAAGTCCCTTCTGCGTGGACGGCCCGGTGGTCCCCGCCAGGGCTAGTGGCTGATTGTCGGCATCCTGTGGCCCTGCTGCTCAGCACGGGCAGGCGTCGTCCTAGGGGAGGGGGCGGGGCCGTGGCCATCCGCTTGCTGCCGAGTGGCTCCTCTGGCCCTGGCTGGGGGGCAGGTGGGGCTTCATCGCCCCCGAGAAGGCCCCTGGGAGGGTTCACTGGTGTCTTCCAACGAAGGCTCTCTGGACTCCTTCCTTTCCAGTCGTCTTCCAGCTCCAGCCAAGAGGAGAAGTCTTTCGCCGCAGAGGAGGTGGCTGCCGGAGGGCTCCCCATCGGGCGGGCCGTGTCTGCCGAGGGAGCCCGGCCCTCTGCGGGGCTCTCCTTCCAGCCCGCCCAGCCCCTCAGCAAGTCTAGCTCCTCGCCGGAGCTGCAGACCCTGCAGGATACACTTGGGGACCCTGGGGACAAGGCCGACGTTGGCCGGCTAAGCCCCGAGGCCAAGGCCCGCTCACAGTCCGGGACTCTGGATGGGGCAGGTGCCACCTGGTCAACCCCAGGTGAAGAGAGTCAGGGCCGGGGCCCTGCAAGGCCCGAGGGTCCCTTGCCTTCTGGCTGTCCCCGTTCCCCCGGTGGCCTGCGTCCCAGAGGCTACACCATTTCGGATTCAGCCCCGTCACGCAGAGGCAAGAGGGTAGAGCGGGACGCCTTCAAGAGCAGAGCTGGGGCCTCCAATACTGAGAAGGTGCCGGGCATCAACCCCAGGTGAGCCTTGCCCTTTCGGGCTGGAGCTGCCGGACAGTCCCCATGGGGACACGGTGCCTGAGTGGCCCCCGGCCGAACAGACTGGGCTACGGGTCGTGTAGTCTGTGCCCCGTGGCCGGTGGGAGCCAGACAAGAGGGCAGTTCCTTCGGCGATGGGGCGGAGGTCCGCTTCTTTGTGCCTGGGTCGGTGGTGCCAGCAGTGACCAGGCCCAGCCCGGCCCTCCCATCTCTGCCCCTGCAGCTTCGTGTTCCTGCAGCTCTACCACTCTCCTTTCTTTGGCGACGAGTCCAACAAGCCGATCCTTCTGCCTAACGAGGTATGTGTGCTTTCTCTCCGGTGCGGGGTCCCCCCGGAGCCTGGGTGGGGGACACCGTGGGGTGCCCACAGCCCAGGCTTGCAGAGACAAAGTCTCAGCTCCCTGTGGCAGCCTGTGGTGACCCCTCCCCCAACCTGCCCCCGGGCGAGGAGAGCCCTCCCCGGACAGGCACCTGACGGGCTGGTGGTGGCACGACCTCCGCCCGAGGCTCAGGCGGGGCTCTGTGGCTACAGTCCTTCGAGCGGTCGGTGCAGCTCCTCGACCAGATCCCATCCTACGACACGCACAAGATCGCGGTCCTGTACGTGGGAGAAGGCCAGGTAAGGGTGCTGGGGGCCCGAGCCCAGCTGGATGGCCTCCCTGGCTGGGGCTGGGTTCAGGGCCCGGCCCCTCGTCCACCACCGAGCTCCGTCACTGCGTGAGCTGCCAGAGCATCAAGTGCTCGTGGGGCCCTGTGCAGGCTGCTGTTCCAGTGCCTGGGATGCGGCGGGAGTGACAGCGGAGCTTGTGAGCACACGGTGCCCAGAGGGATGTTGGGGGCTGCAGAGATGGTGGTGGGTGCATGGACGCCACAGGTGTGGGCGGGGCACTGCTCACATCCGCGACCCGGGCACGGGGTGGCTGGCGCAGTGCCCACGGCGCGCACAGGGGGCCGGAGGCAGGATGGGGAAGTAGAGGGGAGGCGTGGACGGCCTCAGGGCTGCGTGTTGTTCCCAGGGAGGTGGGAGGGCCACGAATGGTTCTGAGCCGAGGGTTGGAGGTAACTCGGCCCCAGCCTCCGGAGCATCCTTCTGGCTGCCGCACGAAGAGCCGGTGGAAGCGGGGCGCCCCTCGTCCCCATGAGATGAGCAGGCCTGCAGCGCGGGGCTGGGATGCCGCGGAATGCCAGCCTCTGGGTGTGTTTTTGGTCCGCCTGAGCAAATTGGCCGGCGGACCCGTGCTCTGTGCGAGAGACGGGGTCCAGATGGCGCCCCCGGGTGCGCGCCGGGGCCCCGAGGAGCCGGGCAGGGGCGGGTGCCGCCGAGCTCCTCTCTCCCCACAGAGCAGCAGCGAGCTCGCCATCCTGTCCAACGAGCACGGCTCGTACCGGTACACAGAGTTCCTGACGGGCCTGGGCAAGCTCATCGAGCTCAAGGACTGCCAGCCGGATAAGGTGTACCTGGGCGGTCTGGACGTGTGCGGGGAGGACGGCCAGTTCACCTACTGCTGGCACGATGACATCATGCAGGGTATGCGCCTTCCGCCGGCCCGCACTCAGGGCTGAGGGTGGCCGAGGGTGGCCGAGGGCCTGACGTCCCCTGACGGGGGCGGGGGGGGGG